GGTGCTTAAGAAATATGAATGTGCCTTTTTACTTCAGAATATAATAAATGAAATAGTCAAGGAGGCATTAACAGGTCAGGTTGTAAACAAAAATGTAAATTGGCCTTATATAAATGATAAAAATCATAGTTTTTATTGCTTTATTGCCCTGTCAGTTATTACATATACTGTGCAATAGGTGTTTGAAATACTTGAAATTGAGAAAAAAAGTCCTGCAGCATTGGGATACTCTCAATCAAATCCATTCATTAAGAAGAATTTATCCCTTTTCCAAAATGAAGAAGAGATGGGTTACTTACAGTTGGTCCTGGTGGGCCTGTAAATCCCATAGCTCCAGTTTCACCCTTAAAAAAAATGCTTTGATTTTAGGTTGTTTTTTTATTTTTCAAGTCGTTAATTATCACAGAAGGTAACACTTTTTAAAACTGTGCTATAGTGCTAAAGAACATCAGATTACTTGCAGCCTCATGGCATAATTGTATACTGTATATCTGACACCAGTGCCTTACATTAAGGGACTTCATTGACTTTACTGGAAATGGAATCCATGTTCTTTTCTTTCATCTTGGACAGCCATTTCATTTTTTTTTGCAGATCAGGTGCATCAAAACAGAAATATGGCTAGATGAAGATGTTGAAATCCCTTGGAATGATTTACAATCATGCTGGAATTGTCAGGTTTCCTAGCATCAGTATTTTTCTGTCAATTCAGTGCTGTACATACTGATGCTTCTTACTAAACTTGCTTACTTGCTCAACCAATCATTCCCCTAACTTTCATATACTGTAAATGGACTAAAAACCTTATGTGCCCTTGTGAGCTGTGAGATGTGCATTTGCAATGCAACTTTTCCGGAGAGAAGACTAGACCAGCTGTACTTACAGGAGGTCCAGGGTGTCCTGTCAGTCCCATTGGTCCACTGGGTCCTGGCAAACCCTGTCAACACAAGACAACTCCTGAACACCTTCATACTGAAGCTCATGCTCATGGTGCTTTTCAACACACCTAAGGACACCTAATGAGCTCACAAGGGCAAAAAGAGAAAGAAAAATAATTTACTTGAAGAGAGGCCTGTGAAGCCACAAGCAGACCTTGCTTTACAGAAAATAAAGTATTGCAAAAACAAACTGTAGCTTGGTGATGTACAAGTGTTGGAGACCATCTACAGCAAACAATTGTTTATTGTTTGTAAAGCTTGTGATTTTTCCATTTCAATTCCCTGCTTAGATTCTGAGAACTGAGGAGATCAGGCTTGGAGGTATCATAGGACAGAGTGTCCACTGGTTACCTACATGTTTTTTTTTTTTCCATTCAATGCAGCAACTCAGACACGGAAAATAGATTGTGATACATCATCTGTTATATCACACACTGATGAAAGCTGCATTTAAAAGTCGAGAGGATCAGAGCAGGACCATTGTATTTTATAGTTGAGAATAACTGGAGTGACTTTGCTCCATTACATGTACTGTATGGAAGTAGGTCGCAAGCTGGTGGGTGACTAGAAGTGAGTTTAGGAAATGATTACTCACAAGAATGCCAGGAACTCCAGGAAACCCCTGTTCTCCTTTATTGCCCTGCAGGCAAAAGAAAGAAATCAAAATAGTTCATTCCTTTTCACTTTATTGATTGCTCAGAAGTTTTACCTGACCAATATAGTAAGTAAAGTTACTAAACAGTATAGAAAGAAAGAAGAAAATACTAATATTGTATCCACTGTATCCAATATGTACCTACAGTATGTAGAGTAGAGACAAAAAAACATCAATGTTTTTACTGGATCAGTACTGAAGAAAGATATAAGATGTGGAAAAGGGGTTAACTGATTTCATTCTGCACAAAGTCTTCTTGTAACATAAAACATTCCATGTTTAGGCGCCTTTGTGTTATGGCAAGGATGGGAGTTAATTGATCTTTAATTCCAAGTGCAAGATAAAGACCCTCCCCACCAACTAAGGAAAGATAAAACTGAGCATCAAAAGTGTTCAAGGTCTTGGGAATGTCCAAACATAGGGGGCCCCCATTACTATGGTAACAATTTGCATCAGAAGCGGGTGAACTTTGCTATATAAACTGGAAGTTTTGTACCTAGATTTCAAACAATACTGTGGTCGTATTGTTCCTTGCATGCAATAAACTCAGTTAATCAAACTTCATCCTTATCTCGGGTTCTAGAACTTATTTGTCTATTACTAACGTACAGATGGCAGAAAATCTAGTTATGAGCAGCATGATCACTGGCAGTGATTTCCGGGATTTCAAAACTGCAAACAGTGCCTTCAAAAGTTGCTTGTCTACAATATGAATTAGGAGCAAAAAACCCAAAAAACCCATATTAAGTCAGGACATAAAAACCTTACCTTTGCTCCTTTTCTTCCCTTGCTTCCCTGGGCTCCACGCTCTCCATCACAACCCTACAAAAGAAAGCACTGAATATTGACCAGGAGACATACAGTACACTAGAGATAGCAATGACCTGGAATCCACTGAGCTGACATGTAGAATAAGCAGTTTCTACAGCACTGGGCACAAACATACTGCAGACCTTTCCTTTTAGGAGCTTCCTTCATGGGAATATTTAAGCAACTGTCAGATCAAAGGCCTGACTGAAAATCTTTTCGGTTTTACTGATAGGGCAATGGTATTTCTCACGGTTAAAATGACATTTAAAGGGTGGAGATGCGTTTGACCTGCCTTCCAATTTGCCCTTGTCTGCAACTTAATTAAACTGAATTTGAAAAGCACAAAGAAACACTAGCTATTCTTACCCACTCACCCAGCTCCCCTTTGATTCCCAGTTCTCCTTTATACCCCTGGGGACCCTGCAGGAACACACAGACAAGCAAAAGACCATTACAATGGTCCTGGTAAGAAATAGCAGAGAAAGGTCTTGATGTATCACTTAAAGGACTTGGGACCACTTGTCCACCAAACTTTAAATGCTTTCACTAACACAAATACTGTCCAATGTCGTTTGAGGCTGTGAAGGTTGAGGAGGAGCTGTGTGAGCGTGCATGGGATGCAAGGGACAAGTAAAGGTAGTGAAAACTAGAAAGAAGAAATACACCATTTTGCTGCTGGGCCTTCTTGAAATGTGAGAGAGTAAGGTGGCTGGAATATAAAGTAATGAAAACCTTAAGGTGAGAATGGGCACACAGTGAGTAAAAAAGTATGTTTATCCCTATGTGGATAGGTGTGATAAGCTGAAATCTGTAGATGAAATATGAGAGTCTAAAAAGAAATAATTATTACTGAGAGAAGGAGGAGGTTGCTGTCCAAGTTTTAGAATAATCTTGGTTTATGGTGTTATTCTGGAGTAGGAGCCCTGAATCCTTGTAAAAGTAAGTGGAAAGAAAGGTCAACTCAATCAAAACTGGAACAGTTGAACCTGATTTTTATCAGCTTAGAGAAGTGAACAGAAGGGTTTCTCACTTCTCTTTCTGTTCCCTGAAATGGTAGGTGATTCGTCTCACCAGTATAAGTGACATGACACTTTCTGCAAAAGATGCAGTAAATAAGATTGCCAGACACACATGTTTTCTGGGCCAGACATTTGCATAAGACTGGATACACTGTTGCAGATGATGCAGCAGTTTCTGTTACAGGAAAAAGGGCCTGGTGTAGATGGCACCTAATGTATGTTCATTTAAGGGAACTGTAGACAGGAAAGTTGCTTGGTGATATGAGATGGGTTTGAATAAAAAAAGGATCCTGTTGAGAAATCCTAAATAATGGAAAAGTTATCTTTGATGACCCTGAGTATAAAAGGATGTTGAGGTGGAAGAAAATCCCCAGTGGGATACAGTTCTGGATCTGGGAATTCCTCTTTGCACTGATATTATGAGGGGTGTTTTCAGCTCAAGTTAGGGCCCTGTCAATACTATGTGTAGCTTATCTTCTGTCATCGAAGAAAGAGCGCATTTTAAGAGCATGATGTTGGATGTTGGTGTCATCACTGCATAACCAATGAATTATGAGGAACTGTGAGAAATGGAGAGAGTTTTTAGTGTTTCTGGAGTGGAAGAAGCCCTAAGGAAGAAGGTGTAAAGGAGAAAGTTGTCTGACTGAAAATCTTTTCAGCTTTACTGATATTGTTATGGTATTGCTCACATTTAAAATGACATTTAAAGGGAGTGGAGATGCATTTGACCAGCCTTTCAAGTTGCCCTAGTCTGCAAGTTAATTAAACCGAATTTGAAAAGAACAAAGAAACAGTAGCTATTCTTGGAAGAAGCACTAAGGAAGAAGGTGTAAAGGAGAAAGCTGTGTAGGTAGTTGACAGAGGGGATCATGGCAATAAAAGGAAGAATGGTGGAGGAACACTGACACTGAGTTTTTAGCTCATCGTTACCAAACTTCACTAAATTTTCCATGATACCCATAATTTGGATAAATGACAGACTTTATGAGCTTCAAAGCAAAAAAAAAATGTATTCTCAGTTCAGAAAACTATAATTACATGCACAACTCAGACATATACAGAACTGTATGTATCGGAAACCCGTCCCTTAGTGCAGTCCTACAATAACAGGGTCAGTATAAAGTTGTTTTTGAGCTTTTAGGATTTGAATCTATACACGCTTTATCACTGTTTCCTTATTAGTGCTACAGTATTTCATTCTTTCGAGTAAAATTAATTCTAATTCGTTAAATTAATTGGGAAATCAGAAATGAATTACCAGAAGCACCTTTTCTGAGTTATCATCTGTTTGGCTCTCTGTTAGTTGTGGCTGAGGGAGATATATTACAAGGTTCTGATACAGTACTTGTCTTTTCAGATAGCAATGATTAATCCAGATGAAGGATGTAAAGCTAAAAAGCATTATCTCAAATGATTTAAAAAATCAGGAAAAATAAGGGTAAAGAAAGCAATTGATAAAATTATTAAAAACCAACGGGATCCAGTTAAAGAAAAAGAGTACAATGAACTGCTAGCAAAAGTAAACAAAGGACACAAGGCAGGCTAGGAGAGAGAGAGAGAAGAATATTACTATGGAGGCCAAAACAAATAATAAACATCTTTTGGAACAACTAAACAACTACAGCAAAAGAAGCTCTTAGAGTGATGTAAAATGTACCTGAGACAACAGCGGTAAACCTCTAGGTGCTGAAAGAGAATTGGTTGATGTACCGAAGGAGTATTTTGCTCAGGTATCCACTAAGGAAGAAGTCAACAACATGCCTTGGGCAGTAGAAGGACTTTCTTTATTCAACAGTATTGGCACAGACAAAGCAGAGGAGCCTCAGGTCCTAGAAGGACTAGTTACTGTAGACAAATCTCCAAGATAAATTCTGGGGCCTAATGGCATCTTACCAACTGTACTTAAGTAAACAAGAGATGTTAGTCAGAAGCCATTCCAACTCTTCCAACAATTCCCCCCCCCCAAAAAAAAAAAAAACAGGGGTTGTAACCATGGACCGGAGAATAGCTAATGTAGAAAATGACAGTAATTATAGACCAAGTCAAACATCTTTTAAATGTAAAATTATGGAAACAATTATTATAACTAAACTAGAGAGCTACCTACTGTGTTATGAAAATAACATCCCATGGATAGGCAACATTGATTTAGGGAAGGTACTGTAAGTCTTGTCTAACCAATGTTCTTAGACAAGGCAACAAAAGTAATGGATACACAGAGAGCATACAGTATGACGGTGTATTTGTTAATAGGGAACAGAGCATACAGATAAAGAGTAAATGTTCAAAGAGGGGTGATGTAAATAGTGAACCATCACAGGGATATGTACTAGGATCACTCTTCTTCCTAATTTATATTAACGATGTACAGATATAGCTGCTTAAAATGCTGGAGGTGTTTTGAGGAATGCTGCGGTACATTGAAAGGTACCTCCCGACACCTTTTTCAAATAATCTGCCCTACTCTTGTAAAACAGTGAATCCTTAACATGTTGTGTGTCTAACATACAGCAAATCTTATTTCAATAATAAAAATTAATTGTTTATTAGCCCATTAGTGCTTTCCTGTGCTAGTCATCCTGCAAAGTAACACTAGCAGAATTTTGCACTTTTTAAATATGGTGTACAAAAGTGTGTATAAATATTAATTCAAAATCATAATTTTATGTTTTGATCATAAAACATACGATACATATAAATATATTATATTAAAACCATATCGTATTTAAAAGCAAATAAAAAGGCCAGCAGTGACTTGATTGACTGTTGCATACTGTACAGTAAATTGTACTATATATTGCAAGTCTTCACTATATAAATGGTTTTATTTAAAGAAACCACCCTTTTGCCACAACTATGCCACAATAATTGCGACAAAATATTTTAAATTTACATTATGTTAAGTGTGACTTTTGTTTTGCTTGGTTTCACGTTTGCTGCAAACAAATATAACATTAGTAATATTAATTGTGTTTTTATACACTGTATATTTATATATATATATTATATAACACAAGAATAAAAGCACATCAAAACTTTAACTGTTGACCAAGTTAAAGAATTCAATGTAGACATTGGTGAAGAAAGTGGAATATGCTACAACTACCATCTGTATTAATATATTATATTTATCTATGTATGAAGATTTTACCCTTACTTTGATTGCAGGTCAGATATGTTAGACAGTTCCTAAAGAGATTGGTTCAGTTGAATAAATTCTGGACATTGGCGTTCATGCTGTTGCCCTTTCAGGCTAGCAGAGTGGTCTCACTGTGTTCTCCAGGTGTGTCTCCTTACTTGCTCTCCATGGCGTCCTGGTGGCCCCTGTTCTCCATCTGCTCCAGGGATCCCATCTTGTCCTGGTCTGCCTGGGGGTCCTGGCAATCCTGGGGGCCCAGACTCCCCCTGACATACAAACACACAGAGCAAGACATCTCTACCTTCTCCCTTCATCCTTCAACCAGCTCTTAACATTCGCCTGGTCCTGTCTTGAGGACAGTGACGGCTTTCCATTTTAACATACACTGGCAAAGCTACAGTATTCACTATTTTCCTGCTGCTGGTCATACAGAGTTCACTTTAATTCTACTGTTGACAAGAGGGGCACTGCAGTTCTCATCGAGAATTTGTCTTCCTATGGTCTGCACCAGGAAGTAATGTTGCCAGGCAAACTTGGGGGTAAATTGACTCTACAATAGCACACCCTTCTTT